CCAATGATGTGTTCCTGAAATTTTAGGTTAAGCCCATAATGTGACAGGTGTGACTAACAAAGCCAAGACACCTGGAGCTTCAACCCCAAGGCCCATGTGGTAAAGTCAGTAATCACCTAGCACTGCTCTAGTTTCCCCATGAGTAAAATGCTATGCAGTGACCTTTAAATTCTAGCTTGCTATGAAATGTCCATGAACACCAAAGACAAGAAAAGAATGAAAAACAAAGTTTTATAAAAAACCTTTTAAACATGGTAGAAAACAGTACCACCGCCCCAATTATATAAGTGCTTTATGATTCCTATGAAAACCTGGGGAAAACTCCTCTGCCATTTAACAACTGCAGTACTGAAAAGCTGGATTACAAAAAGCAGTGATTACTGTTAGGAACTAGGAACAGGCCGCATATTGAGGGTATATTTTAGGCACATCTGAGTGAGTAGAAAAACATGAATAAAGCCTCACTGTTCTCAATTACAACAGTCTTCCCAAATTGAGAATCTGTCTAAATAGCAAGTTTACAAAGGGAATTGATGAAATGACTTATAAACTGTGCTTAAATTACTAGAAGATAGGGGCTGGGGATATAGCTCAGTGGCACAGCACCTGCCTGGCAAGCATGAGGCCCTGAGTTCGATTCCCCGTTCCAAAAAAAAAAAAACAAAACAAATACTAGTAGATAAATTCTGTCCATCCTTGCTCAGAACAACAGAGCACACTGACAGTTCTGAGTGATGCTGGTGATAGCTGCACAATTACATTTACTGTCACTGCTGCAAGAAGTTAAAGTTAGGAAATAGCCCCCAAGCTTTCATCACGCAACAGCGATGGTAATCCCACTAGAATTGCACCTGACAGGCAGCTACTTTAGAAGTCAAGGGGGAAAGATGCAAAAGTAACGGTAACAACTCCCAGAAAATGAAAAGGCAGTGTTAAGAACAAAAATATGCCACAATGGGAGTCGACTTATGTGCTCTTGAAAATTAACTCTTCACTTTTTAAATGTAATCCTATTCAGTAATGTTTGAGTGAATGATGAAAGGCCAGCCAGGGAGAACAATCTTCCTTACGGGATTTAACAGCAGCATGAAGGGCAGGACCAACACACACTATAACCTGCACCAGTTTTGACAACTGCAGCCGTCAGAATAAGGGACCACAGACACCAGGAGGCTTTGCCCAGTGAGATCACAATGGTGTGGTAAAGGACAAGCTGAGGGTGGAGATGAGCTAGCAAAATAAGAAGTTAGGGTTAATCAATTAAACACAAAGGCCGCAGGTTACCCCACTTGCAAATACCCATGCAGGTCTGTAGTCTCCATGAAGTATAAGTATCTTGTTAACATAAACTTTGAGAGACAACAACATACATAAGTAGCTTATTAACATAAACTTGAAGGAACATCAATATACGTAACGCACTCATTAAGAGACACTGGTAGAACCTAATAGGATTAGGTGTTTAAAATGTTCAAATGTTAGCAACATCCAAATGTGTGTACAATAATTAAAATGTTATCTACTTTAAACATCCATGCCATATTTTTAACCAAAAGTCAATCACAAATTTAGAATATATCCTTTACACTCAGAACATCTATTTTTTCCTTTTTGTCTTTTTTTTTTTTTTTTGAGGCACCAAGGATTAGAGCTAACCTCGGCGCATGCTAGGCAAGCACTCTACCACTAAGCTAGATCCCCAGTCCTTTTTGAATTTTGAGAAAGGGTCTTGCTAAATTGCCTAGGCTGGCCTTAAATTTGGGATTCTTCTGCCTCAGCCTCCAGAGTCACTGCGATTACAGACATGTGCTATCTCAGCTGGCTCAATGAATTTTAAGAATAAAACATGTTTTGGTGATTATCAATATTCTCTAGACTTAAGCAGAAGTCTATTTTAGAATTTTTTTTAACATGGTTTCAAGCATTGAAGAAATTCTTTCCAGTCCCAAGTTGCCCTCCTTCTTGCTGGCTTTCCAGGGGATACATGGGTTGGGGTATCTATGTGTTAGCTCACACAAGCTCCCCTAGACAGTGCTGAGTGTGACTTCAGTATCTGTCAGGAAGCCAGCCAGAAGAACAGCATGCGGTCCCTGGGCTCCTGCTCCACCAGCGCTCCAAACATGCTCTTTCTTGTTTCTTATGCTGTGCCTCTATGTAGGGTTCCCATTCTAACTCTCTAAAGAGAGAGGAACACAGAAGCTGACACTTACTGAGCAGTGTCTTAGCTACTTTCTCAATGCTGCAATGAAATATCAGATACCCACACATTAAAGAGGACAGATTTATTTTGGCTCACAGTTTGCAGAGATTTCAGTCCAGTTAGCTGGCTCCAAGACACAGCAGTATAACAGAGGGGCATGAAAGAGGAGAAACAGTCCATGGGAGGGAAGGCAGGAAGCAACAAGATATCTTTCTTCTTCCCCTTTTTATTCTATCCAGGCTACAAGCCTTTTTGATGGTGTCACCCACACAAAGGGTGGGTGTTTCTTTCCTCAGTAAACCCTCATCCACACCCATAACTATGCTAAACTATGCTAAGTGGATTAGTTCAGCATCGCACACCCATGATCCAGCCACCTCCCAAAAGCACTACCCATGAGCACAGGAGTCTTTGCGGGGACATCTAGATACAAGCCATAACAAGCAGAAAATGCTGAGGTTCCTCAGCACGGGGTAGCGGGGCTTTCTTCTGCTGCACTGGCATCCTGGACCAGGTGGAATGGAGTTAGACAGGTACAAAACCTCGGGAGCCACACTGCCCAGGGTTCAAAGCCTGGCCCTGCCTGCCCCACAGGAGCAGGGATTTTGGGAAAGTGACTCTGAGCCCAGGCTGGGAAAATAAGTGTGACAACCCCAATGCCACGGTGATAACTGAGCTCACAGTTCATGAGCTCCTCCAAGGAGCTGAGAATGAAGCCTGAGTAGAGCAAGTCCCTTTCCAGGCGATGTACAGCTGCTTTGGGAGCCAGAATCCAATCTCACTGAGCCTGAAAATCACCTGTTTGCAGAAGTCCCCCTCTTTTAGGTCCCCACTCATACTTTTTCTCTTAAGTTCCACCACCAACCTGACATTTCCACTTGACATCCCACAAATGTCTCAAAAGTATTTTGTCCAAAATAAAATTCTTGCTCTTTTCCTTCAAACCTGTCCCTACATTCACATCTGTCTCCAGCATCTCAGTGAATACCATTATTTCCCCAATTGGAGCTGCCAAAACCCTAGGAATTACTCATAATTCCTCCCTTTCCCTTTCAGCAAGACCAAATCATCTAAGTCCTACCCTTTCCACCTTACACCCTCCTCTTCCATCCATCTCCACATCACCTATCCATCTGGGGGAACACCTCTCTTGCTGGGCCCCTTAGGAGATCAGACCTTGCCTTGACCCCTTTCCCAAAGGCAGATTCCCAAAGCCAAAATGTAATCACAACACTCCCGTTCAGCACTCCTAGGGCTTCTGGTTGCACTAGAATAAAGCTCTTTGCAAGGCTGGTCCATACCTGACCACCCTCAATTCTCTCAGTCCACTCAGGCCGGTCCTTCCTCAGCAGTGTGGTCTGCTACCCTCATCTGCTACACGGTTCACATCTGAGCTCCCAGAGGTCTCAGTTTTAAGACCACTTTCCCAGAGGCCTTTCCTGCTCTCATTCAATGGATTTCCTGACTTTGGGGTTTATTTCACTATCTCAGCTGATTTTTTTCTTCCTCCTATGCACTTATTATAATATACAATTATTTCCATTAATTTGCCACACACACCATTTTGGCATATAAGTTCCACAGAGGTAGGGGTTACAGAGTCTTATTTTATGCCCCCCAAAATAACACCTGGTACAATAAATATTCAATAACTGGTAAATACAAAAGAACTGACTGCGCCATTTTAGGTATATTCTTTCCTTTTCCTCCTCTGCATACCTACTCTGGGTACTAGGCATTGAACCCAGGGACTTCACACTGAGCTACGTCTCCAGCTGTTTTAGTTTTTTTTATTTTGAAACAGGGTGTCCACAAAGTACTCAGGCTGGGCTTGAACTTGTGAACCTCCTGCCTCAGCTGCCCTGAATGCTAGGATTACAGGTGTGTGCCACCATGCCCAGCTTCATGTTTTTCTTCACCATAACTAGATGAGACACGTACCACTCCCATTTTAAAGATGAGGCAACTAAGGATAGGAAATACTGAGAGGACAGACACAGCTTCTGCATACAGAAGCAGGACTCAAAGCTGCTTAGTACTGAAATGCCTGCTCTGTCCCCAGCCAGCAGTCCTGTTCCCAACAGCTGGATGAAACCCTTGGCCTCTGCGCAGCTTCTGACCCCTTCTGGCTATCACCACAGGGGAGGTGCTGCCCGAAACAGCGCCTCACCAGGACCTGTCAACATGGCATACAGTCCTGCAGACAGAGAACCAAGAATGGGGGGCACACGAATGGGCAGGTGACAGGAAGGAGTCAAACAGAGAAGGGAGAAGGATTTGTTTATCACTGTCTTCGCTATCCCCAGGTTGCCTTTTTATTTTGCCTCCTGAGCAGCACCTTGCATTCAGTCTCTTATCACAGAGGGCTCTATGTGCATGTTTCTCAAGTATGTCTCACAGTCCTCCCCAGTGCCCCTTCCAACTTCATCCTTTGGATAGGGAACACTGTCCAAGAGATACGTGGCCATATCAGGCAATAAATGGCAACTCACAGCCCCTGTGTTTGGGGAAAACAGCAGAGAATACGTAAAGCTATGGCCAGCAGGTTGCCCACGTCCCCATTAAGGAGGGCAGTGGATTTAAGCTGTTGCAGCAGATCGCTCCAGGCAGAACAGACAGGCAGACCATTCTTCCCTCCCACAGTTATGCCCGCCTCAGGCTCGGCTCTCTGTGTGGTTTGAAAGCCCTAGTAACTGGTCCACAGCTAAACCTGAGAACCATGTCCAGCCTAGCACTCTCCTTGGACAGGCCCATGAACTAGGCCTCCTCAACAAAGCCAAATGCTTTGCTCAGTGCCTACCTTGAAACAGGCAGACTCAGGGGAAAAGGTCTTGAAAGGTGCTGTTTTCAAACTGGGAAGCACAACGCGGGATTGTGAAGCCAACTTCATGTTTTATAAACAGCATAAAAGAAAAAAAAATAGATGACAGTGTATCACACATGCTCAGTCAATACTGCTCTGTGAAACTTTTGCTTCAAATATTTGCATATGCTACACTTAGGGCTTAGCTTAGTCTTCCCTGCTGTGCCTTGTTCCGGGACCTATAAGGTAGACTCCAAGGAGTAGGTGTCACGGCAAAGCTTTAGTGTCCTAGTGAGGGGGGCAAAGTTTGGGTTAGCTCTTCCCGGGTTGGCCTTAACTCCACAGCCCAGCTACTACAGGTCATCCCTGGGCTCCCCCATGCCCTCTGTGGACTCCTTAAGCCTGCTCCTACCTCTGAAAAGAGTCCATTTATTAAATCCATTTCCCTCCAGACACTGACATACTGCATATAAAGAGACCCGGAGACACACTGACAAATACACATTGATGATAGCGGGCTGTGTTTTCGGAGGTGTGAGCATGTTTAATGTATTGTTTATTATGGGCTCTGGTCAAAAAGCTTGTAAAACACTGTCAAGGTTCTTTCTACACCTCTGCCTCCTTCTGGCAGATGAATAGAAAGCAACCAGGTTGAAACTTCTGAAAGTAAACATTTTGAGAACCCACTTCTACAACTGTTAGCATTAAATAAGTAGTACATACTATCCGAGTAAGAAAAACAGATACGATGATTAAAACAGATTTTCTGACAGTGTTTCACTGTTCAACAAAGGAAAGGGCTGCTGTGGTGACTTCTTGGTGTCTAGCACATAAAGGAGAAGAGCACCCCCCAGTTATTAACTCGTCGAAATCCGCACTTCTCCATGGACCTTCACATCATAAAGTTTCTTCCTAAGCAGAAACGAAGCCATTTCAGTGACAGCCTATTTAACGGTTGGACTTGATGGGCTACAGGTTAACTCTGCTCTCAACCCGGAAGACCAGAGCTACTTCAAAGGTCCACATTTGGGCTTTTCACTTCATTCTGGGAGAGGAAATAGAAGAGCAAATGAGGCAACCTTCAAAAATATTGAAACTGTTCCCCTTCCCGGGGTCTGGGTAGCTTTTCTGATGCTTTGGCAGGGCAAATGGGCTGGCAAGGGTCAGGGCAGGAGAAGGAGGTAAACTCTCAGGTCCAATCATTCGCAGAAGCACCTCGCAGGGGGCCCTGTGGCCTCCCTGCAGATAGTCAGCAGCACAGACGGTCTGGACCATGGTGTGTTCACCCAGTCTCCACACATCTGGTGACGACCGCCCTGAGTACACCCAGGATCTGCTCCATCACATTCACCACTTTCTAATTTCCAGGCCCAGCCAAGCAGAGTGTTACACCATTCAACAGATCCGAAATTGTATTTAGGATCCATAGGCTTTACTAAATCCAAACATAAACTGTCCAATTTAAGAAGATTCAAAAGAAACACAATTGTAAGAGGGGGGAAAATGCAAAAAAAATTTAAAAAGCAATCGATATTCTATCATTATTCCAAGATTTGTTATTGTCCCTTCCTGAAAAAGAAATTCCATTCCACAGTTTACTGAGAAATGGTCATTGTTTATGCTAGCCACTCAAAACATGCACTTTTACTCTGTCACTCAATCTCAAACCAGTATTACCCATTTCCCTATCTCATAACTTAAAATAGCTTAAAAAAAATAAAGAAAAATGCATGTAGACAAAAAGGACTTCCCCCTGAGCACTGATCCTTTTAGTTCCGCTCCCCAGCACATCCCCAGGCTGAGTAAGACAGGGGTAATTCCACAGGCACTGAAGGAAAGGCTAAGCAGCCAGCACAGCTGAAGGCCGTCTCCTCTCCTCTCCTCTTTCCCTGTAGCATGCTGCCTCCCCAAGGTGAACCTCACCCGCACACTGGCTCATTCCTGGGAGAAAAGGAAGAGAGTGCCCAAAATACTAGCACTGTAGCCTAGAACCTACTATTTAAGGTGGTGCGGGAGGGGAGGGGCAGGAAGGGAGGCACCGGGGAGGGCCCGCCCTAGTAGCAGTCCTCACTTCCTAAGCTCCTGACAATACACGCAGCTTTTCAAGATCCAGGGATTCCTGAAGTGGCAATGAAAGATGTTTCTGTCCTGTGCTGTCCCTTGGCCTATAATGAACCCCAAACTGTGGGCTATAAGAACTCCCGGTCATACGGAAACAGAGAAGTCAGCAAGGGCTAAATCATCAGAAATTAAGTAATTCCAGAAGCCCAAGCCCATCACGGCCACACATGGCAAAGGCAGCGTTATAGCCTCTCAGGGGCTGAACCGAGAGCCAGGCCTGCGGTCCGGGCGGCTGCGGCGCCCCTCGCCTCCTGGACGTCCACCTGGGACCGAAAGGGAAGTGGGCCATCACCCGCGCGCGCTCAAACTTTCTCCGCAGCCCATCCTAACGCGTGTGTGCGGGGCGCGCGCGCCAGCGGCCGGCGGGGAGGGGGCGGGCTGGGGCACCCCAAACTCCGCACCGCCCGAGGCGACACGCCGCGCGCGCGGAATCCCAAAGTGCCAGCGGAGGACACACGAGGAAAGCTCGCTCCGACG